ATATATATATATATATATATATATATAAATGTGTTTCCGTTAAGGTGATAAGTGGCAAAAATGTAAATTTTTATCTTTGTAAATCTTGATAAAGAAAACATAAATAAAATAATTACTTAAATATCGAAACGAGTTATTAACGATCATTTTTCAGAATTGAAAACTGCTTATTTATTTTACTTTCTTAATTAAATATTACTTCCAAAATAATTAGGAGAAAACCATGTGCAGAAATTATCTATTATTGTTAATAAAATTTTGAAAAAATATTTCGTAAATTTCTGTTGCATAAGTTTATATGAATAATGATAACACAACATCTTACAAATTATAAATTTAAACCTTTGCGATTTTCAGACGAAAAAAAGTTAAGTAACATAGTAACAAAATTAATTAAATTTCGAAAAAAAGTTAATAACAATCATTTTCAAAATACGGTAAAGATTAATTATTTTATTTTATTATATTATATATAAATATTATTTCAGAAAGAACTATGATTAATGTTTCATCATTTCACTTCACATGTTTCGTCATTCATTTCACAGACTAATCTTTCATTAATAGTAACAAATTAAAAATGTTCAAAAATTAAACGACGCTTTCAAATGATCAAATTGATTTTTATTATTTATTTATTTTTTGTTTATTTCAAAATTTTACTTCACAATTTAAAGTTACTGCAATTTAGAACAACACTCTGCCAGAATTTTTAATCAAAATAATAAAACTTTTCTAGTCGGTTTTAAATCATTAAGAACAGAACAAAACAAAAAAACTTAAATATATATTTTTGATTTTATTTACATTGTAATATCTCACTTCTTTTATAATTTCTTTAGTAGGTTTGTTTTCTAATGAAAAGCATAGAATAGCTAATTTTATAGTTTCTATTATGTTAAATGAGCTTTATATATATGCTAAAATGAATTTCAAATTATACAGAGAGAGGGAGAGAGATTAATTCGAATTAAGAATTTGGAGTTCACGTATACAATAAATACAATTATATTATTGAGAAATTCCATGAAATTCGCAAAATATTTTCACTATGTTCTTTAAAAAAAAACTTTTCTTCGAAATATTTAAAAAAAATCCAAATAAGAAAAATTTTAACACGATATTTGCAATTAGTTTTATGTTACTAAACTAATGTTTTAAGCGTCAGGTTAAAGTTATTGTGTTTATTTATAAAAAAGTAAAACTCGTTGCATAACTTGGTAATAATTTTATTACATCTAATTACTTAATCTAAATACATTTACTTTTAAATATTCTTATCAGAAAATTATTAAGTTTTGAAATTAACATGCATGTTTTTTTAAATTTTTTTATGTTTATATGTTTGTAAAAACATCCTCTTGGCTCATTTAATTTTGTGGGGATACTTCAAATGCAGATGAATTAAAAATTAATAATAATAAAACACTCGTCTGAAACAGTTACTAAATTTACAAGAAATTAAAAATGCATGTCTGGTGAACTCCAATCTCGAGTTCAGATTGTAAATTTACATTCTGAATAATTCTCACCAATTTTCCTGTCAAATCCATTCTCACAATGACTGAAGGGTTGACGGTTTATGCAAAAACCATTAGCCTAATCCTCAAAACACATACGGGCGGTTTCGCCAAAAGCTGGCACAATTCAAGATAAATCCCCATCCACAAGGAATGAGTCTACTGCCCACGAGAGATAGGCACTTTAACCTAAACTTCCATTCCAATGCATTGTGCAAACAAAGCCCCCCAATTTGGCTAAAGGGGGCTGGAGAATCAGAAGGGGTAATTTCCACATATGCATACGTCATGCCATACACGACTCGTGCACTTGTCATTGCATTGAAGACTCCTCCTAAACTATCATAACCAGGGATCAGAATTGTCCCAAATCAGCCAGAATGGATCTCCGGCTTCATCCGGAATTCTCCGGTTCACCTAATGGACGCATGACAAATGTAACGTTGAAGGCAACTGTAAAACGTCATTAATATTGGACATTCTGCAAGTCCACGTCCAGTTACGGTTCCAGTTTAAATGCATCGTCATTATTACGTCGTGGGGGGGGGTGGAGAGATCACGTGATATATAGAACTACAGAGGATGTGTTCGTGAGACTAACGATTTGCACATAGTCTATTGACAGTAGGGTTCTGCGCTAACTAAATGGGACGTTTTAGGGCTGCTGTAATTTGATTAGATGCTTAATTTTGGAAAGGGCCGCAAGAGTAAACGCTATACATGTTTGGGAGGGATTTAGAATGTCTCTCTCTCTATTCGACCGTAACTAATTTAATGACCCCCCGGGGGAAGTAAGGAAACAAAGGGAGTTTACGGGATTTTTAATTAAAGCTATTCCCCTTCTGTGCATCCTTACGAGGTTACTTTTGCTTTAATTTTGATCAGTTGAGGGAATTACATTGGTCATTATCGAGGGTGCCCCTTTTGTGGATTTATTCTAGTTTATAATTGTTCTATTATCTCGCTTTCGAATTCAGCTCTTCAGTGTGAACTGTGATCATTTAAGTACGACAAATTTAAGTACGGAAATTTTTCAACACGCATAATCCTTATAATTAAGGCATAAATTAGTAACATAACCAGTCAGTTTTTATAAATTTGCCGAATAAGCTTTCAAGGTCAGTGAGTTTTCAAACAGAAAAGTTACTAATCTTCAACATATCTGATTTTTTTTACTGAAATTTGAATGTTTATTTTCATTTTGATTGACATTTAATACAATTTGAATGCATACTTTTCAATTATTTTTCTCCTTTAAAAAATTCGTTTGTATAAGGTCAGGATGAGCAAGTCACGAAAATAATTGATTTATTTTTTAAAGCTTATACAATGCTAGTAAATGGAAAATGGAACGGATTTCAGCCTAAACTTACATTTTTAAATAAGTAATCTTAATGTTTGCTCTAATCTATGAAGTCCGATAAAATCAACTTTCCCAGTTTTGATTGAAAAATTTTTCTCGACTATTTGGAGTAGTAGTAAATATCTACTTCCCATTTTAAGATAAATATTTTTAATAAAGCGACGCATAAACAGTTTAAATAACAATTAAAATCTCACGATGAAGGCTTTAAGTGCTGGGTAAAATAATCAAAATTTTCCTTCGTCAATTATTATTATAAATATTACAGAAATCTAAAATTTCCGTAATGTATTATGTAAATAATATTCTATATTCAATAGTTGAACCATATTCCAATTATGTACGAAATTTAAAAATAAGTGACTATTCGCTGAGAAAAAAAGTATGGTCAAAACTAATAGAATATGGCAAAATTTACCATGTTTCTAACTCTATGAAAACACGAAAAAGCGATAATTTTTAGCAAAACGTTTCAATAATGATTTTGGTAAAAAAAAATCATGAAAATATAGTTCTATAATAAGTGATAAAATTTGGTAATTTTCTCATAAATCTATAAGCATGGTAAAGAAACAATTTATTCAGTTAAACTTGCTCTTCAGGTTTGTATTTTTAACTAAATCTGTAGCAATGAGAACTATAATTTTGAAAACCAGAATTTCTTGTAAACCGTTGCCATGTGAACGGAAAAATTACCAACTGAATGGTTTAAATACCGTATATTTTGGTTTTATTTACCATAATTATTTTTAACTGAAAACAAAAAACCGAATGCATTCCGCAAACCTTCAATTTTAGTCATAAACTGACAGTTTTTATTTGATTTTTTGAAAATATTTCTTAATTCTTAAATTTTTCTCAATAATATATTGACCTTATTTTATCAAAAACAAATATTTAAAATATTTTTTGTTGCATAGAAAAAAGAACATTAATTTTAAATATTTAGTCAGAATACGAACCATTAATAGTTTTATTAAATGATAAAATGGGAAAAAAATTACTGTTTTTGGAATAAATAATATTTATTTAAGTTCATAGTCAAATTTTTTATGTAATTACATTTCTAAATTAATAGAGTGCAATTAATAGAAGAAATTACTTTCTTATTTTTACAGCTTTTAAATGTAACTACTAAAATATAAAAATATTTTTTTTCTTAAATGAAAACATTCCCATTAGTAATTAAAATAATAGTTCCGCAATGTTTTCTTAATTTTAATCACCTCAAAATAAAAAAAAGAATTTAAAATAATTTTTTTTTATTTCATGGAAGGAATGCATTATTGCTCAAAAGCTAGAAGATACGTTTTTTCTCACTTTATTTTTTAACGTAAATTAATTATGAGTATTTTACACTTGGTCGCGTTATTATGTGGTATAGAAAAATGCCATTAAAAAAGAAGCAGAGCGATTCATTTAAAAAAAAAAATGCTTTCTAATAAACAATATAGGCTTTAAAAAAATTTTGCTTTTATAATTATTTATTTATAAATTGAAAGCATTATTGTACACAGAATTTTATAGAATAAATAAAAATTACGTTATTTTTTTCACATAAATTTTACCATATTAATACTTTTTTAACTATATGTTTATTTTTAAAAACTAATTAGCTAAAATTGATTTATGCAATGAATTTAAGTTTCTATAATAATTAAT